GCTGTCCCTGAGGGAGATCAGTCCAGTGGCCGAGCAGGGGGAGGTGGTGGAAAAACCAGTAGAGAGGAGAGGGTGGGGAAGGCATCCTTGCTGGGATCGCGGGGAAGATGAGAGGCTGACGCTTGGGCTGTCATCCCCTGCCGTGTCCTGTTCTCACCTGCTTCCTCACATCTTCCTCTTCCCCTTCCAGTGCTGGTCCACGGGGAAGATCAGCCACATCCCCTTCTTCTTCGTCAGCGCCCACGTCCCCTTCCCCAGTCCCAGCCGCAGCCCCGTCGTGGCCAGCGCCAGCGTACGGGAGCAGCCCCTCTTTTCAGAGCTGTGACAACACCACCCAGGCCCTCAGCGGCGTCTTCCCGAAGAGCCGGTGCCGGGACGCTCCCTCCGCAGCCTCCATCTTCCTCCTGGGACACACGGCGCTGCCTCGGGTACCTTTAATATCTTCTCGGGGTCTCAGATCGCGGTGCCGGTGCTGTACAGATGAACGCTGGCTCTTTCTCCCCTCACCTTCTCTTTGCCTTGCTCTTTCCTTACCCCAGGGAGGGCTGAAAGTGTTTTGTGTGGGGGGCGAGTTCTCAAAGTCCCGTGGGTCTGGGTGTGCTTCTGGGGCTCCGGTGGTGGGGTTTTTTTTGATGTCAACAATAACTTGGGGTGAACCTGCAGGAGAAAAATCCATTCCCTGTGCCTTAAATCTGTTTTAATTAAGGCATTTGTTGCAGTGTTGGTGGGTGTGAGCCCTCTCTGCAGCCCCTGGGGCTTTGTTTTGGGGTTAAAGAGCTGCTGCCCCAAGGGGAAAGGTGGGGGCTGAGGGATCCTTGGCCGCAAGCGGAGCCCTGAGGGGGGGGGCAGAACCACCCAGAGTGAACCAAAAACTCTGCGCGTCCCTAAAATCATATCTTGGCTTGACTGGGGCCGCAGCTGGGTGGTGAAAGGTCCACGTGAGCCCGGCCAGCACCGAAATAGTCGTGGGGAGCAGATGGGTCACCCCCCCTGCCCGGAGCAGGGATTAATGGTGAGGGTGGGGGTACACAGCGTGGTTAAACCCCGGGATTACACGTGGTTAATCCCCGGGATTACGCTGTAATCGCTCTGCTAAAGCCCAGGGCAGAGAGATGATGGGGAAAGCACAGGGTCCCTGTTCACCCCCGGCTCTGCAAACACCCC